AAAAACCAAACCCAGAGTCTTAACATAAAAGTGGCTGAATTACAACAACAACTGAATTCCCAACCTTGAGTGGTGTCTGAAGTTAAAGTGAGGACACTGATTGAGAAGAAATGGGACCCTGAAACTTGGGATGGGGACATATAGGCAGATAATCAGGAAGCTGGGGACACTGAACCCCTAAATTCTGTTGAATCACTCCTGCCAACAGAACTAGCGCTCTCACTCCCATCTGAAGAGATTACTCCATCTTTGTCTGCTAAGCCACCCTTCCCAGTAAAACTACTAGCCCCATCTAATGAGATTAACCTAGCTGTGTCTGAAGAGCTTTTGTCTGAGTCATTGCCTGGGACATCGCCTGAGGCAGATACCTTACAAGACAATCCCAAATGTTCTCAAAACACATCCCTACCATCCATTTTGGCTTCTAGACCTATAACTAGACTTAAGTCCCAGAGATCCTCAAAAGGTGAAGTACAAAGTGTGAGTCAGGAGGAGGTATGCTACACTCCCAAAGAACTCCTGACTTTTCTAATATGTACAAACAGAAAGAAACCTGGGGGAATACGTGTGGGAATGGGATAATGGTGCAAGGAACATAAGGATGGATCAGTCTGATTTTATTGATATGGGCCCACTAAGCACAGATTTGGAGGCCTGGTGGCACAGTGATTAGGCATTTGGCTGCTAATCAAAAGGTCAGCAGTTTGAATCCACCAACTGCTCCTTGGAAACCCTATGGGGCAGTTCTACACTGTCCTATAGGGTCGCTTATGAGTCAGAATAGACTCAATGGCAATGGGTTTGGTTTTTGGTTTTGGTTAAGCACAGATTCTTCAATGTCTCAGCTCGAGAGGTTAGGAGAAGATCTAATAGTTTATTTGGTTAAGTCACTGAAGCATGGATTACATGGTGGCTGACACTAAATCAAGTTGAAGTGCTAGAACTGCTGTGATCTTTAAGGTTGTGTGTCAACTTGGCTGGTCCATGATTCTGAGTGGTTTGGCAGTTATGATGCAGTATGATGATGTGATCACTTCCATGATGGGATCTGATATAATGTGATCACCTCCATGACGGGATCTGCTGCGAGTAGCCAATTAGTTAAAAGGAAGTTGTGGTGTGGCCTGCATCCAATTTAGGTAGACTTTCTGGCAAGGCTCGTGGGCTTTTGCTCACTCTGGATCCTGAAGCTGGCTCCTGTTCATCTGACTTCCAGTTCTTGGGACTTGAGCTAGCAACTTACCTGCTGTCTTAGTTGTTGATCTTGGGATTCATTGGTCTTCATAGCCTGTGAGCAAGATCCCTGCTGTGTGACTTACCGATCTTTGGTTCGCCAGCTCCTGTGGCTACGTGAAGCAGAAGCCTCCAGCCTGACCCATGGACTTGGAATGTTCCAGTCTCTACAACTGCATGAGCCATTTCCTTGATATAAATCATCTCTCTATATATTTTATATGCTTTACTGGTTTTGCTTCTCTAGAGAACCCAGCCTAAGACACCTGCCATGGTATACTGTAGAAGAAGGTATCCAAAGGCTTAGGGAAATTGGCATGTTAGAGTGGATTTATCAGGTTAGACCCAAAGACACTCACATGGAGTGCCCAGAGGACACAACTTTTACCACAATAGTGAGGAACAAATTTGTAAATGGAGCTCCAACATCCTTGAAGACTGATGTAGTTGCTATTTTATGTAAGTCAGATTATACAGTGGGAACTGCCCTAACTGAATTAATACACTTAACTACAATGGGGATGAATGGACTCCATGGTAATAGGGGCCAAGTGGCAGCACTCAAGCAACAAAGACAAGGTAGGCATGGTTACCATAATGGACAGTGGAGTCAAAGTAGTAATAGTCTGACACGTATGGACTTATGGCACTGATTACTTGGTCATGGAAACACATCACTGATTCCACTGAACTGGAAGTTAAGAATGCCACCTGGCCACTTTGGACTCCCTATGCCTCTGGATCAACAGGCAAAGAAGGGAGTTACCATATTAGCTGGTGTGATTGATCCTGATTATCAAGAGGAAATCGGATTGATATTACATAATGGAGGTAAAGAAGAGTATGTCTGGAATGCAGGAGAACCCTTAAGGTGTCTCTTTGTCCTGCCATGCCCTGTGATTAAAGTCAATGGAAAACTACAGCCACCCAATTCTGACATGACTACTAATGGCCCAGACCCTTCAGGAATGAAGTTTTCATCACCCCACCAGGCAGAGGAACATGACCAGATGAGGTGCTTGCTGAGGGCAAAGAGAATACAGAATGGGTGGTAGAAGAAGGTAGTTCTAAATACCAGTTACGACCACATGGCCAGTTGTAGAAACAAGGATTGTAACTGTTATGAGTATTTCTTCCTTGTATGTATACAACAAATATTTTTGTTTTCTTCACTTATAAAATGTAAGATGTAAACAGGGCTAGTGCATTTTCAGTGGTATGCATGTTAGTTGTATCATATCAGGTGCAAGTATGACTTTATAATTGTCTTTATTCAGAGATTATGTATGGTTTAAGGAGATGTGTATAGGTGTCAAGTTGATAAGAGATGGACTGTGATCATTAAGTGTGTGTCAACTTGGCTGGGCCATGATTCTCAGTGGTTTGGCAGTTATGATGTAGTTAGGCAGTTGTATAATGATGTAAGCACCTCCACAATGAGATCTGATATAATGTTATCACCTCCATGATGGGCTGTGCTGTGAGTACACAATCAGTTGAAAGGGATTTTCCCTGTGGGTGTGGCCTGCATTAAGTATAGGTGGACTTTCTGGCAAGGCTCATGGATTTTTGCTTGCTCTGGATCCTGCACCTGGCTCCTGTTTGTCTGGCCTCCAGTTCTTGGGACTTGAGCTAGCAGCTTACCTGCCATCTTGCCTGCCAATTTTGGGATGTCATCGATCTCCACAGCCTGTGAGCCAACAGAAGCCCCCAGTGTGACCCACAGACTTGGGATTTTCCAGCATCTACAACTGCGTGAGCCATTTCCTTGATATAACTCTCTCTCTGTATATATTTATATGGATTGTTGTGAGTTGGAACTGACTCAATGGCAAGGTTTTTTTTTTTTTATTGGTTTTGCTTCTTTAGAGAACCCAGCTTAAGACGGAGGCAGGATGAACCCCTGAAACTATTGCCCTGAGATAATCTTTAAACTTTAAACCAAAAATATTCCTTGAAGTCATTTTAAAACCAAACAGTAGTTTAGCGTAACTAGTAAAAAAGGTCTGCCTCGAGCATTATGCTCTTTCAAGAACTATCTATATGGGATCAAACTGACAACAGCAACTCAAAAGAATAGATAGAAACTTTAGACGGCAGTGATTTTATGTTAACGCGAAGGAGAAAAAACTTAGAAAAGGAAGGTGGGAATGACTGCACAACTCAAAGAACATAATCAGTGTCACTAAATGGTACATGTAGAAACTGTTGAATTGGTGTATGTTTTGCTGTGTATATTCTCAACAACACAACAAAATAAATAAAATTTAGAAAAAAATTATGTTGCAAAGAATATTGAAAAAAAATTCCCAAAAACCTGTACACAAATATTTACAGAAGCATTATTCATAAAAATGTCTATAAATTGATGAATGGATAAACCAAATGTGGTACATACATACAGTGGAATATTATTTAGCCATAAAAAAGGAATGAAGTACTCTAACAGGCTACAACACGGATGAGCCTTGAAAACATTATGTTAAGTGAAAGAAAATCAGACACAAAAGGCCACAGGTTGTATGATTCCAATTCAATCAAATGAAATGTCCAGGAGAGGCAAAGCCATAGAAATAGAAAGTAGATTAGTGGTTGCCAAGGGATGGATGAAAGGAGGAAATGAGATTGCTGATAGGTATAGGGTTTCTTTTTGGGGTGATGGAAATGTTCTGCAATTAGATAGAGGTGATAGTTGCACAATATAGCAAAATATACTAAAACCCACTGAATTGTACACTTCAAAATGTTGCATTTGATGTTATGTGAATTTTATCCCAGTAAAAAAACATGCGATACTGGCAACAAACTATACAGTGATTCTATAGAGAATGGATCAGAATATTTAATTCAAAAATGAGTAAAATTTTACAAATTCAACGTATTTTAAAGATGGCATTTCAAATTAGTGGACAAATATTTATCCAGTAGTGATATGCAAATGATATAGGAAAGAAATGAGATACTTATCTCATATTTTATATAAAAATGTATTATAGGATGTTTAAAGATTAACTGCAAAACATAAATCATAAAAGCTGTATCAGAAGAAAATGTATTTAATATGAGAAAATGGTCATGATTTAATTTAATAAAAAACACATAACTAAACAATGAATGCAGTATGGTCTTATTTCAGAGAAAATACATGATATTTTCAGAATATTTAATGACATGGAGAGACATTTTTAGTACAATATTAACTCAGAAATCATGTAAAGAATAGTATGTATAGTGTGAATCTATTTTTGTAAGTTAAATACACACACACACAGAAAAAAGTCAAGGGGATTATACGCCAACAGGTTAAGAGTCTTTCCCTCAGTGTGAAGGGATTATGCATAATTTTTACTTTCTGTTTACTTAATTTTAATTTTTTGATTTCCTACAGTTAACATATATCACATCTGTAAAATAAAGAAAAAGCCACTTGTAAAAAATTCATTGACCCATCCTAACTGTTGCCATCGACTTGATTCTGACTCATAACAATTCCTTAGGGCAGAGAAGAACTGCCCCATAGGGTTTCTAAGGCTGTAATCTTTACGGAAGCAGACTGCCACATTTTTCTCCTGTGGAGCGGTTGGTAAATTCGAACCACCTACCTTTCAGTTAAGAGCCGAGAACTTTAACCACTGCACCACCAGGTCTCCTTATGACCTATCCTACCTGCTATCATTTCCCTCCATCAATCCACACAGATGCCTCAGGCAATGTTATATCAAAAGTTCCCATTCCAGTGACCACACGCTTCCCATTCCCAACATTACCTGGAAGATGTCCATTAGGCTCATAGCTGCCAGCAGCATGGTGACCATTTCAAAATGTCCTGTCTTCATTTTTCTCTTCAAAATTAAAATGAAGAAATTTCAATTTAGTAGACTTAAAAAAAGATTTAGAGGAGCAAAGCAGGATGGCGCTGCCACCTCAGATTGGTCCCCTAACTTCCAGTTTCCAAGAATTGCCCAGGAGTTACAGTGTCTGTACACATCTTTTTTTTTTTTGCAAACCAAGTCATGCCCTTTTGGGTGAGATGGAGAGATAATGTGGCTAGTAGTGGTACAAAGCAGTAGGTTATCTGAGGGAACTCCTTCCCCAAAATAGTCACAATCTAGAGAAGCCCAAGGGTAAAACAAGTATCTTGTTTAACTTTCTAAAGGAGGGAATATGAGACTAAGAAGGAATCAGGGTAGGCAGCAATTCTAACAAGATTATACAACTCTATTGGCCAAATGCCCAATATTCATCTCAGTGTTTATGAGACTGAAGCAGGGTAAACAAGGCTTAGAGGCCCCCAAGGGCTGAAGCTGCCCTACAGCCATTAACTGATTCAATTAAAGGCTACAGCAGGTTGGGCAACAGTTTTTTCCACATACCTCCAACAAAGGACACATTACTGGAACTAAAACAAAATCTCTATTTTATTACACCAATCACAATACTCTGGCTTCTGAAAGCAGGAACGAATGACACAGGGGAAGGGAGATAGCCTCCTCTTTTATAGATGAGTTTGGTCCCAGATTCCTGTCTTTTTTCAGAAGCAGTTTCTTTCACTAAGGTTACTGAAATACAACACCAAAATGTCACTTTTGTGTTAAACTTCCCTCTTCCAGAAAGGATTTGGAATATAAGACTTGACAGATACCTGTTAAAAGGGAGTATGTGCCAAGCAAGCTCTGGATCAGGGTTTTCCTGAACATTCTTCCCTTCTGTAGTCTGAGTGTAAATAAGTCAAAATGTTTACCTGGCTTTTCTGCCTTTGGAGGAGTTTTAAATGATGCTACGTCTCAAACTGATTCTCCACTCTCTGAGCTGTGAGCGTGTCTTCTGGATGGGACGTTGTTGACAGTAAGAGCTGAGAAGGGAATGCTTTTCTTTTTATAAACACCCCCAGCACTAGCTTGGCAGTGGCACATTACCCGACTTGTGTTCTGCTATTTATATCTGGCCCCCACACTATCCCTTGGAATCACTGCTGTTAACACATTAAATCTCTAAGAGGCTTGTAAAGCCACAGCAATTCCCTCTAACTACACAGCATGCTCAGTTATAGGTCCTCAGTTCAGGGTTTCTCTCAAAGAGAAATCACTTCCCATTCCTAACTCTTTGACTCTGAGATATCAAGCTAAAGCATGGATTCTACTCTAGCTAGATGGTTCACATAACTAAGGGGACTTGCTGTGTTAATCATTGGTGGTGGTAACGACTGTCACCATTCACTCAACAAGCTTACTGTATTTCAGGTACTTTGCCAGGTAGAGGAATACACAAGCAAGTAAAACAAAGTACTAAAAGGCACTCACAATCTAATAAAAGACATGAATATGCACACTTAGCCAGAATACAATATGTTAAGAACCCCAATATAGAGAAAGTCCAGTGAGAATGTTAAAGAGGGAAGGATTTGGTAGTACCAGCCGCTATCTCTTTCATTTGACGAAGTTACACATAGTGAATATATTGGTTACCAATGCTCAAGTACACTTAGGGTTCACTGACTATGGATAAAAAACCTTGAAATGGTCTAGGTTTTTCAAAATACATCAAAAAAGAATGTTCACATGTTGACATAGCACTATTTATAAAAGCTAAAAGCTAGAAATCATCCAAAAGCCCATTAACAGTAGAATAAACTGTGGGATATTCACATATAATGGAATTTCATATTGCATTGAAAATGAACAAACTATAGCCATATATAACATGTGGATAAATCTCACAAACAAAAAATTTGGGGCAAAAGAAGCCAGAAACATACTGTATGATTCAATTTATACAGAGTACAAAATTAGGCAAAACAAATCTATGGCATTAGAAGTCAGAATAGTGATCACCCTGTAGGGAGTATTGAATGGAAGAAGTACAAGGAAAGCATCCAGTAGGTTCTTGTTTTTTTGTTTTGGTCTTGGATGCTGGTTACATTGATATATTCAGTTTGTGAAAATTCATCAAGTTATATACTTATGATATGTGTGTGCATGCGTGTGCACTAAAAGAAAACATTTTAAATTATCATGAGATACACTGGCATTTACAAAACCCACCTCTATTATTCAAATCCTTCCGAAATTTCTTCTAACCTCTTCCCACCCACTGGCTAAGCCATCAGTCTAAGATTAAATGCACTGAAGTTGCTGTTGTTAGGTGCCATCGAGTCCGTTCTCTACAACAGAACAAAATACTGCCCGGTCCTGTGCCATGCCCACAATAGTTGTTATGCTTGAGCCCATTGTTGCAGCCACTGTGTCAGTTCATCTCGTTCAGGGTCTTCCTCTTTTTTGCCGACCGTCTACTTTACCAAGCATGATGTCCTTCTCCAGGGACTGATCCCTCCTGACTTAACATGTCCACAGTATGTGAGATGCTTCTAAGGAGCATTCTGGCTGTACTTCTTCCCAGACAGAATTGTTCATTCTTTTGGCAGTCCGTGGTACATTCAACATTCTTCACCAACATCACAATTCAAAGGCGTCAATTCTTCGGTCTTCCTTAGTCATTGACCAGCTTTTGCATCCATATGATGCCACTGAAAATACCATCGCTTGCTTCAGGCGCACCTTAGTCTTCAAGGTGACATCTTTACTTTTCAACACTTTAAAGAGGTCTTTTGCAGCAGATTTGCCTAATGCATCTTTTGATTTCTTGACTGCTGCTTTCATGTGGATCCAAGTAAAATGAAATCATTGACAACTTCAATCTTCTCTCCATCCATCATGATGTTGCTTGGTGGTCCAGTTGTGAGCACTTTTGTCTTCTTTATGTTGAGGTGTAATCCATACTGAAGGCTGTGGTCTTTGATCTTCATCAGTAACTGCTTCAAGTCCTCTTCACTTTCAGCAAGCAAGGTTGTGTCACCTGTGTAACACAGGTTGTTAATGAGTCTTCCTCCAATCCCGATGCCCCATTCTTCTTCATATAGTCCAGTTTCTCGGATTATTTGCTCAGCATACAGATTGAATAGGTATGGTGAAAGGTTACAACCCTGACACACATCTTTCCTGACTTGAAACCACACAGTATCCCCTTATTCTGTCTGAATGACTGCCTCTTGATCTATGTACAGGTTCCTCACGAGCACAATTAAGTGTTCTGGAATTCCCATTCTTCACAATGTTATCCATAATTTGTTATGATCCACACAGCCGAATGTCTCTGCATACAGCCGAATGTCTCTGCATAGTCAATAAAACACAGGTAAACATCTTTCTGGTATTCTCTGCTATTAGCCAGGATCCGTCTAACATCAGCAATGATATCCCTGGTTCCACGTCCTCTTCTGAATCCAGCCTGAATTTCTGGCAGTTCACTGTCAATATAATGCTGCAGCTGCTTTTGAATGATCCTCAGCAAAATTTTACTTGTGTGTGATATTAATGGTATTGTTCGATAATTTCCACATTCGGTTGGATTACCTTTCTTGAGTTCTTCTTCCTAGTCTGTCTTAGTCTGGAAGCTCAACTGAAACCTGTCTGCCATGGGTGACCCTGCTGGTATCTGAATACCAGTGGCATAGCTTCCAGCATCACTGCAACACTCAAGCCCCCACAGCATGACAAACTGACAGACACATGGGGGGAAGCCATCAAACTAAGATTAAATACACTGAATAGACTCTCAGAAATAGTATAATAATAATTAAAATGGAGTTTGATTAGAAAGGAAAAAGAGGGTTTGTACATGTTTTCAGGACTTAGGTTCACAATGACCTGCTTTTACGTTCCAGGCATGTGAGCCTACAGGGAACAAGGTAGTGCGGTTCTCATGTCCCTGGCCCTTAATTAAAGCCTGCTAGATTCATGTATGCATTACACAAGAGATTGAGTCCACCAAAAAGAACATAACAAACATTAAATGAAGTTCGAGGCAAGTTTGGCCTTGTTTATTCCCAGTATGCTTTTGCTCTATTCCTGTTTTGTGCCAGTTCTGAGCTCCATTCATTCATTCAACAAATATGTGAGCACTTACAGTGTGCCAGGCACTGTTTTAGGGACTGCTGCTATATCATCGACAAAATGGATAAAACTGTGCCTTTGTGAAGTTTATATTCTAGTGGGAGGAGGCAGTAAAATAACTACTAAAAGAAATAAGTAAATTGTATTAGTATATTAGAACATAGTAAGCTGTACTTTTTTTTTAAAGTAGAACAAAAGAGATTGGGAGTACGTGGAGAGTTTGCAATTTAAATTAGATGACTGGGGGGACTCACTAAACAGCAAAGATTTGAAGGAAATGAGGGAGATCAGCCATGGAAATCTGGTGAAAAAGTAATCAGGCAGAGGGAATACCAGCTGCTAAAGCCCTGAGGCAAGAGTGAACCTAGTTTTGTTTGAGGAAAGGCAAGGAGGCCAATATGGCTGGAGCAGAATAAAGAAGGGAAGAGTAGTAGAAGGTCAGAGAGGTAAGAGGGTGGTAGAAAGGTCATGCAAGTCTTTGTTGGCTTTTGCCCTAAGAGAAAGGGAACAAACCAAAAGGTTTTGAGCAGAGGAATGACATTATATGACGTACGTTTTAAGAAGATCATGGTAGTTAATACTGAGAATGGTGTGTATGGTAAAAGCAAGGAGACTCATCCCTGGGTAGTGCAAACAGTTAAAGCACTCAGCTGCTAACTGAAAGGCTGGAGGTTCAAGCCTACCCACAGGTGCTTCAGAAGAAAGGCCTGGCGATGTACTTCCAAAAAATCAGACACTGAAAACCCTATGGGGGCACAGTTCTACTCTGATAGACATGGGGTTGCCATGAGTCAGAATTGACTCAGAGGTAACTGGCTTTATAATAATCCAGGCAGTGATTATAGTTGGCTTGAACTAGGGTGAGAGCAGTAAAGTGATGAGAAGTGAATATA